TTATAAATAGAATATATTCTATATCTATTTTATCCAATAAACTAGAAATTATCATTATATAGAAATTTGTGGAACATAATAATGATATGGAATAGTTCATCCAAACATGAAAATTGGCTGAAAATGTACTCACCCTCAGGCCATCAAAGATGCAGATGAGTTTGTTGAATGGATTTGGAGAAATGTAGCATGACATCACTTGCTCACCAATGGATCCTCTGCAGTGAATGGGTGCCGTCAGAATGAGAGTCCAAACAGCTGATAAAAACATCACAAGTAATCCACACCACTCCAGACCATCAATTAATGTCTTGTGAGGCGAAAAGCTGTGTGTTTGTAAGAAACAAATCCATCATTAAGACGTTTTTAACTTCAAACTGTTGCTTTTGGCCAAAACATTGCTTTCTCCATCTGCATCAGTTGTCTCGTCTGAATCAGGAGAGAAATATGCACAGATCAAGCACTGGTTACAAGTGAAAACTGTCCAAAACAGTTTTAAACAAATATGAATTTTGGTGTGAGAGGACAACAGGGCATGGACCTTTTCACTGGAGGAAGTGTTATTATGAAATATGGACACATATTTTGGCCAGAAGCAATGGTTTGAAGTTAAAAACGTCTTAATGATATATTTGTTTCTTACACATGCAGTTTTTTTTTTTCACAAGATGTTAATTGATGGACTGGAGTCGTGTGGATTACTTGAGGACTCTTCTGTTGTTTTATTAGCTGATGTTTTTATTTTCATTTTTGGGTGAATTATTCCTTTAACATTACCTCAAGCTGTCAGTGTAAAAGTGTAGAAATGAATCTTACAATGCTGCCAGGCAGCTTCTCTTCTGTGAAACTGAATATTCTGTGATTCTGTTTGATTTTCACAGATGTTCGAGGTCTAGTGTGTTTTGAGGGCCCATGTGTGCTTCGTTTGGGTTACATAATGTAATAACACAAACTCACACTCATTCTCTCATATCTCTCAGTGAAACGAGACCTGAATTTACCCTCAGCGCACATTTGTATCTTTCTACATCAGGATATTTCAATTCCACATCATAAATAACCAGCGATATGCAACATGAATGAATAAATAAAACCAAGGTATAACTAAAATAATACAACCAAACTATGCTAAAGCAGAGTTTCACATGAATATGTCATACACACAAACATGCACACTCACTTAAGCAAATACACAAAACTTTGCATCTCATAAATAAGCTATTGGATTGCCTTATTCCAGAATCTCATTTGAATTCACTTACATAAGAAATGCATGAGGAATACATGTGAGATATTGATAGCAGGGCGCAATTGTGGCATAAAAAATAAAATCAGTAAATAAATGAACGTAATTTATTTGGTAATTTGGAGTGTCACACAGTATGGTCTGTTTCCTTCACAACCAACAAATTTGCCCCTATTAAAGTTTATAATATAAAGTAGTAATGACTTACAATAAGGTCCCATTAGTGAATGTTAGCCTTTTTTTACCCTTTTGTTTAGACAAAAACTTGCATACAAATTGCATACAATTTTCTTAGTAATCTTCTTTATAATTAATTATTTTCTATATATTTTTTATAAAAATACATTTTAACTAAAATAAAAATATAAGCTATTTCAAAATTATTTGATAAAAAGATCTATATTCATTTAAATAAATCTGACTGTAAAACTGTAAACTGTAAACATACTCTGTAATAAAATATTTTTTGAAGTTGAAAATAAAACAAAGATTATTTAAGTATTTTAAACAAGAAAATACTATTTCAGTCTTTCAAAATGTCTTGCCATTTCTTAGTAATTACTTGTATAATTTACTAGCAATTTCTCAGTAAAAGTGTTTTACACAAATGTGGGTCTACACCACATTTTTTCAGTGTACCCATAAATTTAATAAAGACTACAATGCAGCACTCACCATACCAGTTACGCCATATTATTTGTAATATATGACAGTGATGTAGCACACACACCTGCTGTCACAACACACACACACACACCATTCAGTGATGTCAAATAAATATTAAAAAGATAAAGGAAGTATGATGTCAGCACTTCTGTGGACTTCCTGTTACCTCTGTACAGCAAAGGTTGACACTACAACTCTGGCTCAAGAGTCCTGTCCTCACAGACAAACACACACACACACACACACACACACACACACACACACACACAGTCACTATAACACACGCACAGATATGCAGTGTTTTGGAATAATGGAGTAAGAGACTCACTCTTCCTAATGTCATGAGTTCAGGTGCCCAGAATCATGCTGGAGACAGCGAGAGCTAAAGGCCGCCGGGTATGAGGAGGATCGCTCTGGCTCGTTATGTAACAACTCAAAGCGCTGATATAATGGAGAGTGAGAGACACGCAAGAGAAGGATTCACTGAATCCTTCTCAGTTTCTGATATTCTGGATCCTGTAGAAGCCAAAACAAAAAAAAAAGTGTTAAATTTAAATACATTAATTTGACCTGAAATTTATACATTTGTAATGTATTTATTGAATAGTAAAAATATATATTATAATGTATAAAAAGTAGTTTTAAATAAAATGTATATGCATCTGAATTTTTATATTACATGTGAACAAATAATTCTGAGGTTTGATAAATCAATGTTTAAAAATTAAAATCAAAATATTTAGTCTCTCAATGAAAAGAGCAGATGTTATTTTAATATCATTGATTACTACTATAGTATTTATTCATAATTTGAATTCATTTTTATTTTTATATTTTATTATTTCATTTTATTTTTAGTTGAAGTTTTAGTAATTTTGTTGTGTATAGTTTTTATTTTTTTTATTAATATATCATATTTTTTTAATATATCATACATTTTTTTAAATAATACATTTTTATTTCAGTTTTAGTTTTAGTTAAACTAGTTAAACTAAGTGACAATGAGAGCTGTTTCAGCAACTAGCTGAAATAAAATAAGCTTAAGGGTTTTTTATATTTGATCTCAGTTGTATTTCAGGAACCATTTTTTATGGTTTTAGTAAACTATAATAACCCTGATAAGAGCAGAATACACAATAAAAATGGTAAAAGAATGAGCAAAGTTTGGTGTACATGTTAACATGTAAACTTCCTAAAAATATTTAATGTCATCTACTCATTTCCATTGAATTTAATAATTAAAGACAAAATAATATGATACTTAATATTTAGGATGTTCCATAAGTGTAAATAAGCTCTAAAGAGAAGCTGTCCACTTGTGCAGTCTGTCACTGTGTGGCAAATCCAGACTGATTTAATTTCTCAAACTCTCGTGTAAGACAATGAAAGAATCTCTCACAGGCTGACATTTCCATAGAGAAGATGTCCAAGTCTCTCATCTGTATGTGTGTTTCTGCATGTGTCTGTACTGGTGCTGGAGTGTCAGAACAAACACCAGTGAATGACTTCAGCAATGAGATTATACTGCGCTTGTCATCATCAGGCCTCATACTGAAGAAGAGCTAGACATCCATGAGCACAACTGGATATTGTCTGTGAAATAATCAGTACTTATTCATTTTGGATGGACTGAAATCACAGTCTGTGCATGCATTTTCCATTCACTAAGACTGCTTCTGCGGCATTATATGAATTAATTGTTTTCCATGGAAGTCTATCAGCTATTTCAGATATTGTCAGATAATCCGGCTCTAAACGTACAAAATGAGAGTCGGTTGCTTTACATGTCATTCAGGTAGTCTCATCGCGTCTAAGTGGGTGATTCTTGGCCAGAATAAGCTGCAATGTGAAGCAGACAATAGTCAAAATTAGTACTTACATGCTAAGCATCGACTTGAAGATGAACTGCATCAGAAAACAGTTAGAAATCATTTCTCCTTCTGTAGAAATGCTTAAAGACACAAGTAGTCACAAAAAGGAGTCATTCAAACAGAGAGCAGATAATCATGATTAAAGAAACATTTTCTGAGTTATTTCACACTAAAGAAAGCTAAATAACGCTAGATCTAACAAGCAACCCACCTGGATTTAGCTCTTAGAATTAAATTAAATTAAATTAAATTAGATTAAATTAAATTAAATTAAATTAAATTATCTTTTATTTTTTAAATTATAATAGAATCACTGACTTCATTTACATGCCCTAGAATATCCCGGAATATTGCATATTTTAGTATTAATGTGGAATTGTGCATGAATATGAATAACCATAAAATGGTTGTGCATGTAAATAGGGTTAATGTATGTACATCAAAAGGGTTAAAAATAAATGGGGAAAAAAACATAATTAAATTAAAATAAATAATCAATAAATTAAACAAATAAATTTAATATTAAATGCAATTAAATTAAAAATAAAATAAATTAGATAATACATTAAAATCAATTATTTTTTAAAAATATAAAACAAAATTAAATTAAATTAAATAATATAAAATTAAATTAATTTAATTTAATTTAATTTAATTTAAAAATAATCACATATCACCAAATCAAACTTAAAAAGTGCCGATTACCAAAAACACCTAAATCGAAATTGAGACAGATGCATCTAAGAATCAGATAAAGAGCGAGTGTGCATATGAGAGGGCGAGAGAGAGAGAGAGGGAGGGAGGGGGG